AAAAAAAAAAAAAAAAAAGAACCAGCCACAAAACCCATTTGTTTCCTTAAAGTCTCTAAGGAGATTCCAACAGCAGCTGATGCTATTAAACAAGGGCACGTATTACTTTTCTTCTCTTTATTCAGGGAAAGAAGAGAAAATAAATGAGGGGAACTCCTCTGCATAATAAAGAAAAACAAAAATAATTTCACTCTAATTATAAGCCTTTTTCAAATAAATGTCTTTTTAAAAAGTCACAAAAGTAAAAACAGCACTGTGCTGCCACAGAGTCTGCAGATGTACTCAATTTTTTTATTTTTATTTTTTGGCTGTTTTATTTTTTATTTTTATTATTTTTAAAAATATATTGTAAAATTGGTTTCCATACAACACCCAGTGCTCATCGCAACAGGTGCCCTCCTCAGTGCCCATCACCCACTTCCCCTCTCCCCCACCCCCATCCACCCTCAGTTTGTTCTCAGTATTTAAGAGTCTCTTAGGGTTTGCCTCCCTCCCTCTCTGTTTGTAACTATTTTTTTCCCCTCCCTTCCCCCATGGCCATCTGTTAAGTTTCTCAAGATCCACATTCAACTTTAAATGTACCATCAGGCAAGAAGATAAAAGTGGGTGGGAGGGTACATAAATAATGTCAGCTTTCCAGTTTGTTCTGGGTTCACCCACCTGTTGCTGGAGGCAGTGAGCCACGTGCCGGGCTTGCTCGCTGATAGCCCATGGCAGGCAACAAGCTGAGCACGGGAGGCCCTGTGACCTTGACGGCCCCGGCCATGGCCAGCACTGCCTCTTACCGTCGGTCTAGCCAGGATCTACAAGTTGGTGATCTAGTCTGGTTTTAATTGGAGACATCATATTGAAAGAGAAAACATGATACCTGTCTCTCCTCTAGATAGCCCAGCGCTTCATCCATCATTACAGGCACTTAAAGAAAAAAAAAATATATATATATATATGAAAAATTGTTTTTGAAAATGATTTACCAAGCCTCAGAACACTCAGTTTACATATGGAAAAAGTCTGAATAGTCTAATAGGCTCCTCTGGGACTTTCCTCCAGTGGCCGTTCCCACCTGGAAGGTCTGCTGTTCACATCTAGCTACTCTAGTCTCTAGAATACTTCGGTCCTGCCACTTCTGATGCTGACCCATCCTCTGCAGCTATACTCGTTTCCCCTCTTCTGAACTACATCTACCAACTATGCACTCACCACAGCCCACATCTGTTAATGTTCTGGCAAAGACAATAAAGGTCATACTTTAAATTTCCTTTTCTTCCCAAATGACCAAAAAAATGAAATCGGGCTTACACCGTTTTTCTTCATTGTATGAAGGCACAACAACAGACAGTTGCTTGGTAGGTGAGTCCCATATGCTGGGCAAAGTTTCCTTCTGTCCTCTGGCATTTAAGAAGAACTTCTCTTCTTCATATTGATGGAGATGTGGCATTTTTGTGGCAGTTATAAATGCAACAAAGGAAATCTAAAAGCAGGTATGTTAACAAGAAATTATGTTATGTTGACATTTTTTTTCGATTTGTTATATGAGAACACATCTTTTACATAATTTTTTTTTGTTTGGTGGAATATTTACTCTCAGTTTTTAGTCCATTAACAATTGTCTAGAGATGAAAATTCAAATCCCTTACTTATGCACTGGTTATTTTCCTTTCTTCAACTGGTAAGGTACTAATAATGCCTTAAGGGGCTCTTTGTCTCTTCTGACCTGTCATCCCCAGGACTCCATTGTCCTAGATCTAATAGGGAACAGTCACTAGAAGTGCAATCTATGATGCCCTGAACCTCCAATCCCCTGGCAAGCACATAGTTAGGTCTGATTCCTACTTGGAGCCTGTATGTGACAGAAGGTAAGTTCACAGTACAGGCAGAATGTGTGGAATGAGGCCAGACCTCCCATCTAGGACCAAATCAAGCAAGGTTTTGAAGAAACGACCCCTCCACCCCCATGGTAGGGGCCAGTAATGCTTAAGAATATATTCTTGACACTTATCCTAGATTTGAATTCAGAATACATTATTTTTTGGGGTGCCTGGGTGGCTCAGTCGGTTGAGCATCCACCTTCGGCTCAGGTCATGATCTCACTGTTTGTGAGTTCAAGCCCCACATCGGACTCTCTGCTGACAGCTCAGAGCCTGAAGCCTGCTTTGAATTCTGTGTCTCCCTCTCTCTCTCTCTGCCCCTCCTCCACTCGCTTGCTCTCTCAAAAATGAACATTAAAAAATTAAAAAAAAAGAATATATTATTTTTTAAATAAAGTATCAAACTTGTAAGCTCTGTCACCATGCACTACTAACATTTTATAGCTCCCTTCCATTTTTATTTGGGAGTGAGCCCTGTAAATAACCATTCTTTGTAACACTGTTTCTACTGGTACACTTCCTGCTTTTAAAGCAGTCAATCCACAAATATTTGGAATGCTACTCATTTTTAATATGGTGACCATTTATAATATTCCATTGGGTACATACTGAAACTGAACTTGCTCTGATTAGTAGAGGCATGGAGGCAGTATCCCGACTAGTGGTTAAGAGTTCCTGTTCTGGGGGTGTCTGGGTGACTCAGTGGGTTAAGTGTCCGACTTCAGCTCACGTCATGATCTAATGGTTCTTGAGTTCCAGCCTTGCATCTGGCTGTCTGCTGTCATTACAGACCCCACTTTGGA